TATAATAAATAGTAAATTAATATTATATAATATAAATATTAATAAATATTAGATCGGACCTTTGGGTCGGTCCAATAGGCCGATCCAAATATGGCCCAAACGGGTCGGCCCATGGGCCAACCCAGTTTGAAAAACAAAAATCCATATCCAATCCAATTTATGGATAAGCTGGACTGAGCCGGGCCGGTCAAACGTTGACCTTGAATCGGACTTGGATCGGGCCTAGGTTGTACTTGGGCCGGCCTTTGGGCTTTGAGCCCGATGATGAGGCCGACACTTGCGCTCTGAATCTCAATTCGACCGGTCTTTTTATTTTCTAAAGTTATTTTTTTCATACTCCAATGGCCTGCGTCGTTTAATATATATATTATTGTAATCTTTATTTTAATTTTTCAAATATATGAAAAAAAAAAGCCTTTTTCTTTCCTTTTAAATGAGAAAGTTTAACTTTTATATCTAATTATTTTTAAATGTTTAATTAAATTTACATGAATTTTAGATAAATGTCCTAAATTTTATCTCTCCATTCAATTTCTTATAATTCACTTATTAATTTGAAAATTTATAAGAATTCACTAATTTAACAAAAATCAAGTTTCTTAAATTAAGTTACATAATCAAGGATTAAATAATTATATCAAAATTAACAAGTTTAAGACAAAAAATCAACTCTATTGCCTTTTTTTCTAAATCTTATCGGTTATTTCATTGAAAAAATATTTATTTTCTAACTCATTTGACATATGGAAATGATTTTTTCAACCATTTTTCAAATGAACGTCTATCGGAAGTAAAATTTGCAACACAAGTAAAAATTATAATACATATCTAAGTGTAAGGTACAAATTGATATACTTACATTGTCAATTTTAGGTTTAAAATTGATATTTCTTCGTTATGTTTATATACATTTGTACCCGTCCTAACATCGAATCCTGGATCTGCCACTGTTTGGTAGATGCTATAGATATCTGATCACAGATGGGTTTCATTGAGATTCACAAAAGTCGTTATTCTCTAGAAGAAAAAAAAAAGAAGGGGAAAAAAACTTTGATCCAACCCGAACCGACAGCGACCCGACCCGAATGAATTACACCCTTATTTAAGATATATAATAAAGGCATGACTTGAGGTACTTAAAGTGGGTTGGTGTGATATGACAAAACATTTATTCTACTTTTGTTGAAATAAACGATATAGTCAATTGATATTCCTCTGAAAAAGAGGGAAAAAAACGATTTGTCATTGATTTCCTTGGAAAAAAAATGATTTTTTAATTTTAATTTATAACGGTTTAGTCATTGTGACTTCAAATCGAAACGATTTAGTCTCTAAACTTTAGTATGTAACGTTTTAGTCCATGTACTTTAAAGTTTATAATGATTTACTCCCTATCGTAAAAAAATTTGTCAAATTTTTTATATATGTCGATTGACTCAATAAATTGAGACACTAAATATGTTTCTAATTTACCAAGACTAAATCGTTGTGCAATAAAAATCGACATTTAATTTTAATAAAATTTTTTATGATTTTGGATTATATTGTTACAAAATTTAAATGATAAGGATTGAAGCATTAATCAATACAAACACTAAATTATTACAAACTAATTAAAGTTTCGGACTAAATTGTTATTTTAAAGAAATTATAGATGCGTGTGGATGAAAAATTGAGGATAATATTGGAAATGAAGAAAAAATTGGCCCTTATCCAGGTATGAATGAATATGCATTAACTACATTGGCAAAAAAATAATAACAATAATGACAATAATAATTATTATTATTATTATTATTATTTTATTATTATTATATACACGCATTAACTAAATTTGGATTTTCTTTTCCATTATAATCGTGATGTTTGGGTAATCCCCAATTCGAAGTTTAATCTTTTAAAAATTTTATTTAAATTTCTTTGTAAAAGATATATTAAAATTGATTTATATAAAAGCTGATGTACCAATTAAATTATCGTTGAATTAACTTTTTCTTTTTTTTTTCCTCAACTAAAGTGAGCATAATAAAATGTTAATTTATAAAAACCTTTTTTATAAATAAATTTTAATGACATTCGTTTCAAATATTAATGTCAAATGTCTCTATTTCATGAAAATACCAATGAAAACATGGATAAAATGTTAGTGTCAATAAATATTTTTTAAAAGGTTAAATAGTAAAAACAATCGTGAAAAATATTTAAATTAATAAATAAGCATTTCATCATTTCTAAGAAATTTAAAAGTGATTGATATTAATATTATTTTTATATTAGTGATATTTGTTTATATTTTTTATATTTTGTCTATTTTTTTATAATACTATGAAAATGTCGATTTATCTCATCATGTCGATGTCGAATCGTCTACGAATACGTGAAAATATCGATGTAAATATCAACCAATCGCGAAGATTTAATACCTTGAATAACTTTTGGCTGGTATTTCTTTTATACTAATTAACATAATAAAAGAATGTAATTAGCATTTTAGTCATCTCATGATTTATGGTTAGCTTCAATCAAGTAGTTTTTTTTTAAGATTATAAAGTGGAAATTTAAACTCACAATCTTTTCTTATTGGAAACATATATTTTAGCTAGTTGAACTATGTTCAGATTGATAATTTCAATTTTATTCATATTACTAAAAGTTTTAATTTGGTCAATGTTCGATTGAATTTCCCAACTAAATCACTTAGCATCATTTTTTTAGAATTAATTAGCGTAGTTATCTATATTACTTAGGTTTAGGTTTATTAATAATATTTGTTTGTAAGTCCTAATAAATTAGGAGTAGATTAAAAAAATTTACAAAAATAATAGCTAAATTTCTTAAATTAGGGATTATGAAACTCTTATTGGAACTTTTTTGTATTCTTTTGAACATGACCAGCCAAATTTCCTCGCATAAGAATTTGTTGTAGCCACCAAGATTTTTTGTGAGTTAGATGAATCAATTTTGTATCTTCATTGATTTATTTTTAATCTATTAATTCATTTTCATTTGCGTTTCTTTAATCTTTTGATTACGGATTAATTATTTATAAATCTGAATCTTATGCTCGAAAAAGGTAGTTTAGATTGAAACCTGAATGCATGACTAATTTAGAAGTGTTTTAGAAGTTGTTAAAAAAAAGTAAACTCGATGTCTTTGACTTGTTAAATAAACTAGATAGGGATATTAGTTTTTTTAATGAGTGAAAGAATTAATAATTTTGGCATGTTTAATTTATGGGCTTGTAAATTCAGTTCGTGAAATCAATTCCTCTAGACTTTTTTCTCATTGATTTTTCCTTAGCTTTTGCTTTTTGCATTGATTTCTTTATTACTTTTAAACATAATTGTCGTTTCTCGAAATAAAATTAGGTATTGACATTTTTTGTACTTTGAGTGAACTAGAAATCCAACCCAGAAAATATATTGATATTGACTATCCACTTTTATTATGACTTGATTCATACGCTTACAGTAAGCGATTTTTGTTTCATTCACGTAGGAAGATCGAACTCACAACCTCTTAGTTGAAGACATATGTCAATTACCGCTTTTGACCACCTATGTATGTGGATGGTTGAATGGTAAATATATAGAAACGTTGACATGTCAAAAATTTAATTCCTTCATTGTGTTTATGTGGAACTAAAAAAGTCAGTCTTTCCAATCTAATCCTGACTACACCAAAAGATTATAGGATCAAATTCTCGCCTTCGGATTGCATCGAAAAAAATAAAAGAAAATAAAAAGGAGAAAGAGAAAGAAGGGTTCGTTTCGTGGCAACTTATACTCCACCCTTCGGGGCATTTATGGTAAATGGTGACCATTTATTTGTAATTATTGATTACAAAAAATTCAATATAATATTGACAGTTGGACAATATGAATTAATTTGTTCCTTCTCCACGTAGGAAGTAGGAACGTGAATTAATTCCCTATGAAAAAAAAAGGCAAAAACAAATAAATAAACATGCATTAACTAAATTTGTTGAGTGGTCCTTCCTTTTTTGGATATTTATTTTTGAAAAATCTATCGAATCGTCCTTCTTTAAGATAATTTTTTCAATTTGACTCTTAAATACATTTAGAATTTCTAACTAAGATGTTCCATAAAGAAATATATTTGAAAATTTGATATATCATTCAGCTATTTTCTTATGTTATTTAGAAATTTTTGCAGGTTTTTCTTATCTATTAATTAATGTAATTTTTAAAATACACTATTAATAATTTTACAAAAATAATATCATTTTATTAATGTATTTCGAAAAAAATATTTTATGAATTTTTTTGGTATTTATGATTTAGCTGCAATTTAGTTGTATTAAAAAAGTTTTATTCACTCATGAATTGATTAAATCTATCAAAAAATTTCTCTGATTCTGACATTTTTTTATTGGACACCAATTCATTGCCCCTTTCTCTGCCACGTTCAAAGAAAATATGCCACATGAGACGATTAATTGTCAAGCTGTTGGAGACGTTGATATGGAAAAAATAAAAGAAGATTGTTGGAGAGATTTAATAAAAATTGACAAAATTAAAAGTTTTAAAATGTTAAATTATATGTTCGGTCTCTAAACTTGTAACTCATATATCCCAAAAATCGTCAATTTTGTTTGACGGGTTGCTCATGTGTATAAAAGTTTATAGTAAGATTCATCCATTTTCAATTTGTGTTGGTTCTTGAACCTTTATATTTTGTCTAATAATTTCATAACTAAAGCAAAAGAAAATATATTGCAGCCTTTTATAGAAAAAAGTTATAGTACTCGAATGGTACTTAATGCACAACTCGTACATTATGATTTTTTTTAATAAGTAATTTTTAATACTATTAGATAGGTCTATATCTTTTTAAATGACGTCGACATGATTAACAGTAAAATTTGAGTGTTGTCATTGTGACGTAGATCGATCGACTTTCTTATCGAGAGGAAAAACATGAAATTATGAATTGGATTGAAATTTTTTTAATTAGTTTTCAGAGATATGGGATGGATGAAATTTGAACCATAATAAATATATATAATAATCAACCTGCCACGAAATGACGCAAAAGGGCACACTCAATAGTTTTCAAATAATAATATTTAAAAAATTCAAACAACTCAATTACTGCATGCAAAAGAAAAGAAGAAAGTAAAAAAGCTCGGCCCTACAACAACAAGGATGACCACACTGCATAATTTGAGAGAGACATTATTTTCGATTTGTTCAATCTTGTTCCTCACAAACCTTCGTAGAAAAATTTCTTAAAGTCATCCATATGCTTCGTCTGCAGTCGTATCGCTACAATGAGCGAGCCATCATCGGTTGTTCCTGGCATGATGAACGACTTTCCGTCTGCATTTAGTGTAGGTGGCCCGACGTAACACGGTCGCCCCCACCCGAAATCTGCCTCGTACAACGGTAGCGACATCCAACTTCCCAATGACAAATTAGGGTTCCCCCAAAACGGAGCGTCGAATTGAACAACAGTGTGGTACGAGGTTCGGACCCAACTAATGTCTTCTTGACCAGCCAAAAAATCCATGGCTGACCTTGCGTACTCGTCGGTGATCTTCCACGTCCCTTCTCGGATTTTTCCTGCAGCATAGCTCAACGGTTGGGTTATTAGATTACCGAACTGGCATTTTGGTGTCACCGCAGTTAGCGTTGAGTTTCCAGTGAAGTTATTGGGAATTGGTGTTCCAAGGCGTCGTCGTACGTCGACTGCCACGCGAATCATTGTCGATTGTGAGGCGTCACCATCACCAGTACTGCGGGCTTTGCACGCACATACCCACATGTGGCCAGCAATAGATTCATATCGGCTGTATGGTCGCAACTGTTTCTCATCGAGTCCCACCATGTTCACATCAGTTGTGTTAGACGAATTTGCTCTCTTTTTGAGTTTCTCAACTTGCTCCTTCGAAAGTTTCAACAACGCGCATGTACATTCTTTCTTCCGCTCCTCCTGTCACAGAATTTCCCATACTTAAATTTAAAGTCAAATGTTCGAACTACTCTACAATGTCCTTTCTTCTTCAATTAATTAGCCCTTGCCCTCAAGCTAGGGAAGAATGTGAAGAATATAAATAAAACATTAGGCAAAACAAAACGGTCCCTAACCTTTCAAATAATTCTCCCTTTCATCTCCCATCTTTCAAAATTCTCAAATTTTCTGTATATTAACATATTTAACACAACCCCACATGACAATTTTATATCTTTTTAAGTAATAATTTAACCATAAATAAAGATTTGACTGAGGAATTTTAAGGAGATAATTTTGACCATGACAAAAGTGAGAATGATCATAAACTTTCACCTTAGCATCGGAGTTGCCGAGGAGAGGTGGTGGTTTGTTGTATTCATGGTGGTCGAACCGCGGTGGCCGGAATGGCTTCTCCGGCTGCAGAACTCTCCGGTCATGAAAAGGCTGCACAATACTCTCCACCGTCTTCTCCCCACGCGCAATGCTCGCC